ATCCAAAAGTGACAGAACATATGGGTCACTCTAGCACACTGAACTGGCCAAAGGTCAATGTGTCTAAGCCTAGTCACCCCTAAAGACCTTTTCGCACCTGTCTCATAGGCATCCCTGAATGGGATCCTCCAGCATTTAAAGGTTTAATTAGTAATGAGACTCGACTGAATCGATTAGCAATGTGCGACTGCACTCTTGCAACAACTTGGCTCTTGCAACTATTGGCTTCACATTAAGACAACTTGAAGTCTGTTGGCAAGCAAAAATTAGCAAAGTTCTCAATGTTACAACCCTCAGAAGAATTAGATTTGTTAAGTTCCACCAATACCTCAGGTGGATGGATAATGTTTGAACCCCCGACAAAAAGTCATTCTAACAAAGTAATGCGGCACTGAGCTGCAGTTAACCCTATAGCTGATCTCGTTACTACCATTGAAAGTAAAGCCTTTATTCACGGTGCAATCTCACAGGACAATTACCAAAGCGATTACCTAGTTCCATATTCCTAATCTGTGGAGATAGAGCATGGAATTAGATTCCTGGTAATCTACATAGAGGACCCTGTTATCTTGGGAAACTTACTTTGTTCCATCCAAGCTTACACCAATTGCTGAATGCAGCTAGCAAAGTGAAAAACATCAAACACTCAAAGCAAAGCCTGAATGAATTAAAGCTTAGCAACTCTAAAAAGGCTCGCTTGCTAGACTAAGGAAGGATTGAACTTAACATCCACAATGTTAAGTGAACTTTCAGCTGACGTGAGTAGTGTACATCATGCAGCATTACAAAATCAAGCTGCAATTGACTTTTTGCTCTTAGCACAAGGACATGGTTGTGAGGAGTTTGAAGGCATGTGCTGCTTGGATCTTACTGATCATTCAGCTTCCATCCATAAGCAACTACAACAGCTACAGGATGGGTTACATGCCCTGAAAGAAGATAGTGACCCCACTGGAAGCTGGTTCGCCAGCTGGGGCATCACTGGATGGTTGAGGTCTCTTGTGCTAGAAGGGGGACAGACTTTACTTATAATGTTAATCAGGATGACAGTCTAAGTTGTATGTTATCTTATCCAAAGCCTGGTTTGTGCAAAAAGAGAAAGGGGGAATTGTTGATATATTTTATATATTAATAAAGGCCTGTATGCACAAACCAGCCTTTGAAATAAGTTGTGATATTAAAGGCTAAAGTCCTTGAAACCTTCATACAGAAGAGAGAGTAAAGCAAAACAATATCCTTGTGTGTAGGAGAAAAAATGTAAACCTGTGTGTGTTAGCCAATAGTAGCTTACTCTGCCTGCAGACCCTGTAGAACCCTATAAAAGGTGTGCTAAAGATAGAAATAAACGGTGTTCACGATTACTTCTGTGAAGGGTGGTGAATAAGCTGGCGGTCTTTCAAGAACTGTGCATTAGCATGGCTGTGGGCAGAAGACTCTTGGCTTTGTGTGGTATCCAGTGAAACCATCTGCTGTGGTGAAGCTGTTGTTTTTTCCAGCTGTTGTTGGTCTGCTGCAGCTGTATCGCAAAGCGAATTCAATTTTAAAAGTGCCGCTGCAGCGCTTGGCGCAGGCTGCGGCTCTGCTTGTCCACCCGCCTGTGCCCCGGCTCTGGGCTGGGCACGGAGTGACGGGACCACACCTCCCTGTGTTGTCGTGGGCACCCCGATGAGGGCTGGCCTGGGGGCGGTGCCGCAGGCGGGGTCTAGAGCTGCGGCTGTGGTTGCATCACTGCTGACGTCACTTTGACTGACAGCTGTGGCTCCAAGCCCTCCCCTGGTAGGCGGGGCGCAGGGGCCACCGTGCCCATGGAGGTCTCAAGCTGCTCTGGCTCCGGCTGAGCCCTCCCGTACCCTCCCAGGGGGGGACAGGGCTGTCCCTTCCACCCCCCTAGGGCCGGAAAGGGACTCGGCTGCTGGCAGGCAGACGGCCAAAGAAGTTTCCCCTCCCTCTTCTGCCTGCAACAGCGCACCGAGCGCTGGAACAGCTCCAAGAGAACCCAGACATTCTTGCAAAAGCTCTGAGCCGTCGGAACCCCTTTTTTGCAGATTCTGCCCAAGTTTTAGAATTGCCTCCTCGTCTCTGTATAGTTGTTTCTCTGGGCTTTCAACAGGCTTAGACATTCCCTTTGCTACGGCAGAATTCAGGAAGGCTCGCACAAACTTTACAGAGTGCGGGAATATCAAGAATTCCGCATCTGACTGTAACAAGCCCTGTTTTTCTGGACCCATAGTGTCCCTTGCCTGAGTTTCAGAGTCCCATTTACTGGCAATGACTTCATAAGTCACTGCAAAAGCCGTTAGCAGTTTAGTCGCTGCCTCATCTCTAAGAGTGGTTTTTTAATATATTCTCATGTTTATCTTCTCCCACAGGCTTGGGGTAAAAATTTTCTGTGAACCCACGTTAGGGAATTCTGCCCGTACCCAGGATAGAAGGCTTTTAAGCTCATCCGTGGATACAGAGATCGGGTGCTCCTTTACCGTAGTTTCCAAGATAGCCAAAACCTCCCCCTCAGGTTTGGACATGTTTCCCATATTTTTGCTCCCTTTTGACCTCAGGGTCAGCTTTCTCTCAGCTCCTCTATCCGTGATCCATTCCACAGCTCACAGATGTCTGGCTTGGCTTGTCTGCAAATCTCACCAGCACCGGGATTACCGAGATCTTCTTTTTCCCCTTTCCAGGGAGTTTTCCAGCTTTCCGCTGTCTTCTTTTTTTTTTCCTCAACAGGAGCCTTCAGCTCAAAGTGCCTCAAATTTGGGAGCCATTTGTCTGATTAAGGACTTTTGGGTTTGGGTTCTTTTTCCCTTTGAACTGAAGATTGACGAGAGGGAGGCAGTTTTCTCTTGTTCTGTCTCAGTTGTTTATTCTTTTCTTATCAGCATTACAAGATACAAGAAGTTATGTGCACTATTATAGACAGGGGTAAAATGGCTAACAAAGATTCTTTTCAAGGTCTTTTGTATGTCCATTTACTCAATTAACAGATGCCAACTAAATTATTTTTCTTAGTGACCCAATGACCCAACAGCTGTGTGTTGCACTGCGGCATTTTTTACCCAATCACTTACTACCACCCAAAAACCCCTAGGAGAAGAACATGAAGAAGAAAGAAGAAAGGACAAGAGACAAAACCCTAAATTCTCCATCTTGTCTCCTGTTCTCTAAACTAACTTTTTCACCCAGTAATTTTAAAAAACTTTCTAATCTACACACTTACACTTTTAGATTTTCTATCTAACTTTAACATTTGTTTTCATGTATCAACATGAAAACATGCTCATGAATTTCATATTATATGAGATTCAGTGTTTTTCTGGATCCTAGAACTAAGTATTAGAAACAAGGGCACACACTCTGTATCTCAGACTCTAACAAGAACATACCTGGGGGTGGCCCAGAGGGCTTGAAACCTTCATACAGCCAGGCTAAGGGCGGAGCCTTCCCAGCAATCCCATCTAGGAGTAAACAAAGATAAGAATCATTCCCATGGTGTGCCAGGGCAGGCTGTGGCAGGGCTCCTGCTTGGAGCTGTTCCTATGCCTTGGGCCTCTGGGCACTCAGGGCCAGCTATGGGAGCAGCTGCAGTGGGAGGCATGGTGATCCTCAAGTCCTGTTTCTCAGGGGGTGGGAAAAAACCTCCTCCAGCTTTGGCTGCCACGGCCCTGGGGGGAGAGCTGCTGGCACACAGCCCCGCCGAGGGCTGAGCCCAGCACAGCAATTACCTCCTGTGTCTGGGCCCGTACTCATGTGTGCCATCCCATTCCTTCCTGCAGCAGAGGCTGCCGACGAGTGACCGCTGCCTGCAGGAAATGCTGCCTTCCACAGAACCTGTATGTCCATGTCTTGAGAAAGAAAGGAGCCAGCTGGATCATATGGAACTGTTCCCCATTTGGGTGGTGGCATCTTCAGGAGCCAGTATTTATCAATGACAGGGACCAGGAAAGTGCCCAGGTTATTTGGCCTGGGCCAGGGCCCTCCCTCCTCCAAACAGCTGCCCTTTCTGATCTGCTCAGAGACTGGGGAATTGCAGGGGATCTCAGGGTGTGCATGGCCTGTGCTGCAGTTTGGGCTCCCTGTCAGCTGATGCCAAATGCCTTCCTGCAGAGGCTGGGGAGAACCTGCAGCCAGGCCAGGCTGGGAACGAGCCTTGCACAGCATGAAAGCAGCAGGGGGCCGTGCAGGGCACAGCGTGTCCTGATGGGTAGAGAAAGCCCCTGGCTGCTGAGTCTCAGGAGGAGGCTTAGGGGGACATGAACCCACCAGGCCCTTTCTGCAGTTCCTCCACAATTTGTTTCTGGATGTTGTTTGACTCCAGTGATTCCTTCTCTCCTGTACGTTTGTCCTTGTCACTCGGAGGACCTCAACAGAAAACATTTCCATTTCCCAGTGGATCCCACAAAACCAGTGCTCATCCTGTGGGGTCAGCAGGGAGACACTACTCACCCCTGCGATGGAAGTGGGGCTTCTGCACACCAATCAGCAAAGGAGCTGAGAAAGTCCTCTCTGCAGACACACCTGTAACTCAATAGTCACAGAAGCTGCTGTCAGCTGGTTCCTGACACGTTGTCAATGATTATTCCTTCATGGGACACTGAGAACATACCTGCAGGAGGCGTAGAGGGCTTCAAAACTTTATGCAGCCAAACTAATGGAGAAATGTTGCCCTGAAACTTATCTGGAAGGGAGCACAGATGAGAACCTTTTTCAGGGTGTGCTGGGAGCCCTTTCTGCCTTAGGGAACTGGGCACTGCAATGGGGCTGGGTAAGGCCATGGGAGCCTGGTGAATGGACACGGCCAAAGCTGCAGGGGGGCCAAGGGAGACTGCTGTGTCTCAGTCACTGTGTCCCCAGGCCCTCTGCTGAGCTAGCCCTCTCCTACAGTCAAGTTCAGTCCATCAAATTTGGCTTTCCTCTCTGATCCACTACCAGGACCACAAGAGCACACCGTCCCGAGGATGTAAAAATGCCTGCTCTTGCTGGAACACTGTTGTTGCGTGTTACCCCTGAAGGCAGTGCGGGCATCTGTAGGGATGTGAACTCGTTTCCCTCGTCTCAGCTGCGCTGCACACAGCAGAGCTCCTGGGTGTTGGTGCTGGCTGGAACGACACCATTGGCCTCACGTGGAGTTAGAAAGAAAGTGTCTTCAAGGAATCAGCACACATTAGAACACACTGTTTAGCCTGGGATTTGAAGTTGTTTCTCAGTTCTTCTTTAAAAAGGCCTAAAGAAGTCTCCTACGAATTGTTTCTCTCCCTGGCAAGTTCAGTTGCAGCCCCAAATCGCCTCAGCATTCCCAAGCTGCTCACTCGGAGCACCGTTCTGTGGGGAGAGCGCGGCACAGAGCGAGCCGCTCCCGCCCGGGCTGCCCACAGGCCCGGAGAGCCGGGCAGGCCCCACGGCTGCTCTGGCATCGGTTCTGTTCCCCTCTGTGCTGGCTGGGGCCCGGTGCCGCCGCTCTGCCGGCTGGGCTGTCTGTGTTCCCAGCACAGATGGAGGCAGTGCAGGCCATGGCCCCTTGTCTCGGGGTGCTCAGCACCGCCCGAGCCGTGCCCGTGCAGCAACCACCTCGGCCCCTCGGCACGGCCATCCCGGCACGGCGGCTGCCCCTGGGTGCCCCTGGGCCGTGGCAGCTCCGAGCCGG